CTCCTGTCTCGGTCCACGCTGGCTCTCAAGGGCTCTCCGAGGGCTCTCGAGGCGCTCCCGAGGCCCCGAGGGCCCCTTCAAAATGGGCTCCAGGAGGATTCTCGGGTGAGCCCAGCGGCTGATATAACGCGGGGCTTTCGTTATATGCCCACTTGGGGCCCTCTTGGGCCCGTCTTGGGCTTGCGTGGCCCCCTCTTCCTGCCCTCTTGGAACCGTATTGGGGCCCTCTTGAGGGCCTCTTGGGCTGTCGTCCTGCTGTCCTGCGGCCGCCTTTGTGACAGCTGGAGGGAGCCTTCCAATGACCTCCCCAAGAAGGCCCCAAAACGGTGCCAAGATGGCAGGATGAGGAGGGATGCGAGCGGGATGGGGGGGGGGGGGGGGGGGGGGGGGGGGCGCTTGCCCACGCAAGGTTGCTGGCGGCTTCGGGGAGTACATCGGGTCCTCGCTGTTGAGCGCCAAGGCGGCCATTCGCAAGTGCTTCGAGCAGTACGACGCCATTGTGGACAAGGCCACCGCAGATCCCATCTCTCAGTCCCTCTTCGGTCTCAGGAATGTCGTTTCGAAGCAGTTGTGGGACTTCAAAGAGAACCCGCTGTCCCAGCTCCATTTCTACCCAGAGGCTTTCCAGGAAGTGTTGGACAGGGCCTTCTGCTCGGTCGTGGAGCGGCGCACTGAGAGGGAGCACGTGGGGGTCAAGTGGGCTGCGAGGAGGGGGCTGCGCTACGCTGGGCCCGCCATCGTGTGCGCCCGCAAGCGCTCGTCCCAGATCGAGGAGATGCTAGACGATCGGGTCCAGCTTGATTGGGTATCTCGGCAGTGGCAAAGCAGGCAATGCTATAAGGAATTGTTGGCCCACGTTCTGCCGCCTGGAGACATCAGCAAACTCACGCCCGCTCAAACGCATGCCAGAGTGTACGCCTACGACGCCAAGGACCATTTCCAGGATGTTGACCAGCAGCAGAGGGCCGACAAAGAGTTCCAACGTGCCTTAGCAGATGTGCAAGCACAACCATCAATCCCCCCGTCCGATAGCATGAAATTGGTGATGGCTTATTTGAAGAACCGCTTGCAGGGCACCCAGAAGTTCAGCATCCCCAAATCGCTTTTCGACTTGGCTGCAGCTGGTCCCGTCCAGGACCCCGTCGCCGACATCAGCATTGACCAATTCGTCGACGGCCTTCGCCGTGGTGTCGTGTTCCACTCTGCGCCAGAGCCGCACGTGTTCTGCATGGTGGTCGACCCGCGCCCTGAGCGCAAGACCCGAGTGACAGACATGCACCAGGTGCGCCGCCTGACTGGCATACGCGTGCAGCGCATGGATATACTTGCCCACAGCGCAGATGGGGCATACGTAATGCAGTGCAGCGCTGGGCCATCGGAGTTGATTGATATCGGCCCATGGTGCGAGCCAGCCGTTTTCAGTCGGGTGTGCAGGGAGTTGCGACTTTGGCGGGCGACGTCGTGCGGATTGACGTTGCATTTGACAGCTGCTCCACTGGCGCTGCAGCCGCTGAGGCCGCCCGACACCGAGGTAGAGGGCGCCCTCGCGTTGCCGGAGGCTCAATTGGCAGCGTTGGCTGACCCAGAGCGGAGGGACGCCATTACGGTGACAGCTTCTGGATGCGTGTTGGCCGAGTCGGCTCGGCGCGTCGTGTCGCAGTTGGTTGAGCGCAGGGCGTTTGCCGAGTCCGACGCCCTCGTCCCGATCGGCATCCTGGACCACTTCACGAACCTCGCCATCGTGGTTTTGGTGGACTTAGGATGTTGGAAATTGGCCTTTGCGCCAAGCACTATGTAGATGGGAGGTCCTTGGACGCAGAGTGTTCGGGCCCAGGCCCCCCCCCCAGGGTTCTTCTGGCTTGTTGGGGGCAGGGCCCCCCCTGTTGCAGGCGGGCAGAAATCGTCTTTTCTTATTTTTGCAAGTCGTTCCAAACACGCTGGGGAAGAGTAGGGGGGGGCGAGAGGGGGGGGGAGGAGGAGGGGGGGGAAGGGGGGGGAGGAGGAGGAGGAGGAGGAGGAGGAGGAGCGGGAGGAGTGGGATCGAGGATGAGGGGGGGGAGGAGTGGGATGATGAGGAGGCGTTGGGGAAGGATGCGAGGGGGGAGGAGGATGGGGAGGAGGGGGGCGAGGAGGAGAAGGAGGAGGGCGAGGAGGACGTGGAGGAAGAGGAGGTGGAGGAGGCGGTGGAGGAGGAAGAGGAAGAGGGGCGCGCGTGGCAACATCGCCCCCCATCCCATCCCCCCCCCCCCCTGTTGCTCACGCATCTCCCCCCTGGGCGTCTGGAAAAGGAAGAGGGGGAGGCGGGGGGGGAGGAGGAGGATGGAGTAGGAGGAGGAGGCGGAGGAGGAGGGGTGGCCCGAGGACCAAGGCATCGTGGTCCGCAAGACCGACGAGTTCGGCGAGGAGGCTTTAGGCTTGACTTTGGCGGCGTGCCGTGTCTCGGGGGTGATGGCGACGTCGCAGCATGCATTGTTGGGGGCGAGTGCCAATAAGCCGAGCGAGGGGCAGTCGTGGAGCAAGCTCGAACTGTTGCAGTTGATGCTGTGGCGCGGCTGGAGGGTGTCCGACGAGTGCCCGTCGTTTCACCAGAAGGACGGCGACAGGCTGATCCCCAGGAGGGCCCTCACCAGGCCGATCTCTTACTTGAAGGCGTTTTGTTTCAGCAGCGTGATATTTGGTAAGCCTGGGGGTCTTCAGCGAATCTGCCACGATTGCACGAATCCACAACGCTTCGCGCAATCCCGTCAACCCACGCTGATAATATATGCTTGTGAGAAATGCTTAGGCCAGGGGCATGCATCAGCATGCGTCGCGACGAAGCTGGCCCCGCGAGGGGTTCAATCTGGCCCCGCGGGGCTCCGCGAGGGGCCCACCTATGTTCCGCGAGGGCCTTGGGGGGGGGCGCCATTGGATTCCCCAGCGCGTGCGATTTTGGTTTTCTCGGGTCCTTATTGGGAGGCCCTCTTGATGTCTCATTGGGGGCAATTTGGTGCCTTTTGAAGTCGCATCGGGACCTTCGGACCACCAGGGAAGCAAGCAACTCATGGCGTCGGCTTCTTGGGTCTTGAGCGATCGTTGCAGGGCATTGCGGGGTGTAGTTTGCAGAGCGTTGTGCGTGACATCGCAGGATCTTCGCAAGCTCTGTGCAATATTGCGCAGAGTGCATCTGCAGCGCATTGCAGGGGGGCGCCAGGGCGGAGGGCAGGGGGAGCGGCTAATCAGTCAGAAGAACGAGCTCACTAAATTTCTCACGCCTTCAGTGGGCTGGTGGGATTCTTATTACGTAGCTTTGATGTCACTCGAAGATCTCTCTGAGATTGCCCGCCTGAGCGACGATCAGGTCATCGCCCTGAGGGACGAGGATGCGAAGCGTCTGATCTCTAGGAGGGCGCGTGACGCACTGGCGATCGAGGAAGCTGGGGGGGAGGACGTTGCGGGCGGCATTGAAGATGCCGACGTTGCGCCCGCGCCTGCGCCTCCGCCACCGCTGCCTCCGCCACCGTTGCCCGCCCTGGAAGAGATGGGCCCCGCAATCCCTTTGCACCCTGCCATTGCGCCCGTGCCTCCCGTCCAGCGCAGGCTCCCTGGCTGGGCCGAATTGCGAGTTTGCTCAGACAATTTTACGCATCAGACGGGGCGGCAGCGGGTTTTCTTGTATTGCCGCAGGCACGACCGTTGCAGGTTGTACCAATTCATCGACCAACACGAGGATCACGCGGCGGCTTGCGCATATTTGTTTGCATGGGCCATGGAGGCCCCCAGGTGGCCCGATCCCGGAGACAAGGAGCTCCACCTTGCGTTTAGGCCTCCTCCTGAACGGGTGCAGGATGTAGGCATGATGCAGTACGAGTACGGACTGGCAGGTTAATTAGATCGGTGTACGATATCTGACTTATCTTCGTCCGACGACTTCGGATGCACGCGATTCAGCTGTGATGTATGGCAATATGCGTCGTTTCGTGTGCTTTCTTGCACGGCACAACACTTTCGCGCCCAGTTGGCCATTCTACCAGTCATGGACGCACACACGCACGTTCCGGAGCTCACGAAGTCCCCGACCCCCGAAAAACTGACACAAACAACAAACACATCATACACACATATAGTTTGAGAGGGATCGCGGTCCCAACGTGTCATATTCACGCCGCAGACAACAAACGGGGATCATTTATTGCGCGGGCCGTTGATTCTGACATATTATCTTCTTGAAGGCTCCTGCCGCCCAGGCCGACGGTCTGCGTTCGACTCAGTATGCGTCGCGGCATGGCGGTGCGATGACATATGATGCGATTTGCGGCCGCCTTACTTTGGGAAGGTCTTGCCTAGTCCAGTGTCCTGCCATGTCCCGCCAGTGTCCTGCCATGTTCCGCGGCTGTCGTGTCGTGTCCTGCCGCGTCCCGCCAGCGCCCTGCTGTTGCCCCGCCGCGTCCCGCCATGTCCCGCCAGTGTCCCGCCGTGTCCCGCCAGTGTCCCGCCAGTGTCCCGCCATGTCCCGCCAGTGTCCCGCCAGTGTCCCGCCATGTCCCGCCGTGTCCCGCCAGTGTCCCGCCAGTGTCCCGCCATGTCCCGCCAGTGTCCCGCCAGTGTCCCGCCAATGTCCCGCCGTGTCCCGCCACGTCCCGCCATGTCCCGCCAGTGTCCCGCCATGTCCCGCCAGTGTCCCGCCAATGTCCCGCCGTGTCCCGCCAGTGTCCCGCCATGTCCCGCCAGTGTCCCGCCCATGTCTTGCCGTGTCCCGATGTGCCCTGTTTTGATTCGCCAGCGTTCCGTTTGTCCCAGGGGGCCGTTGCTCGTTCGGCGGGGCCGTGGGC